TGCACTATACTGGTACAGCTGCTGGTAATCCTCATTCCAAGCACTTGTCTGCTAGAATAGGAAATCTTCAGATTAAATACTGTAATTGGTGAACTGTTAGAAAGAATAATCCTTCCTTCCTTCCTTCCTTCCTTCCTTCCTTCCTTCCTTCCTTCCTTCCTTCCTTCCTTCCTTCCTTCCTTCCTTCCTTCCTTCCTTCCTTCCTTCCTTCCTTCCTGGTATTAGTCTCTACATATAACAGCAGTACCCTCACATTATATAAGCTGGATTGTCTGTATTTACAGAGGTGATGGAATGAGAATCAAATTGCATATTACTTTGAAAACATAGCTGGCAGCTACATGTTTTTCTTCTTTTTACTTTCTATGGAAGAATGTATTCCAGTTGCTCAAGGCTGTTAATCTAGAAGCATAATTATGTCTACCTCCTCACGGGCCTTGCCCATCAACATGACAAGGTCAAAGGTGGACAACCCACAGGACATTCACCATTGCCTCACACATTCTTTGAGAAGGCTTTAGTGGCACTAATAAAGATAGCCCTTGGATCTGTGTTACATTTTGGTGGAAAGTTGCTTTTTAAAATATTATAAGATTACTATATGCTACAGTTTATTTCCTGTATTTTTCCCAAAGTCTTGTTTCTCTTCATTATTTGAAAGTATCAGAACACCTTTTTAAGAACAAAGCCTATTTGTAGCCCCTAGAAAATATTTAGCTTAGGACTTTATTAAATTCCTGTATAAGAAGCACGCCAGTCCTGAGAAGTCTATTATTGTGGCATGAATCTGAGGACATTCACTTTGCCTATTATTGAGTTGAAAAATGGTCATGCAATGTAGTTGTGGTTTTGCTTTATCAGTTATTTTAACACGTAGAAGGGGAGTATGTTCTACAGCCTGCATAGTTAATTGTCTTTTCACATATTAAGTTAATCAGATGAAAACAGCGCCATAGTCAAGGCAAAACTATCCATTTTTAATTTCTTTGAGTTTCCAGCCTTACGTTCAGGTAGTTCTGTTTCTGCACCAGCTTGAAATCTCTCTCTCTCTCTCTCTCTCTCTCCCCCCCCCCTCCCCATTTATTTATATGTCTAGGGAAAAAAAATGTGAATTTTGTGATACACATTCCCCCCAACACATGCATTTTGTCTAATAAATAGAGTTTTCCCTAAATATAAATTATATTGTCTGCTAATTTCACTAGTATAGGCATCACTAGGTTTGTGTGTAGAACTGCAAATCCAAACAGCTTGAGTAGCTTCTCCCGTCTCTGTCATGCAGAAGACATCACTTGAAGAAGTGTATTTCATCTCTTCAGCACCATTGGCTGCAGTTTCACTCCATCAGGGTTCAAAACACGAAGTCTACCCACTGCAGAGACTTGTGCTCTACTTGTAGAGACTGTCTCTCCAGTGATGTCACAATACAACTTGCAGAGGGGAGAAGTTCACTACCGTTCATGCGTTCTCTGTACATAAGTATTGATTGAACAGGGCTTTTGTATGAATTTATTTGTAATATGCACACTTTTTACTGAAAAATGTCACAAAATTTGGAGAAGTGTGAACTTCAAAATAGAAGTTAATTTTAGCTCATATCTGAGAAATTAAATAATTTGTTAAAATGCAAATTATTTGGCTGACATTTGGTTGACAAAGTATTGACATTTCCCCTGGTCTTTACTCTGTACCCAGTTTTTGACATTTTGTAATATAACTGATGCTCACTTGCCACAAATACAATTAAATTAAATTTCAGCATATTTGAATTTCATGCTTAACTGTTTCCTGCTGAACTCAGAAAAGTATGTTGACTGAACAAAGCCTCATGGTGTCCCTGCTTAGAACTACAGCTTTAAAGTGCTTCATTTTTTGGCTTTATCACCTCCAATGCCTCCTTCTTGTATCATAGGTGAAACAATATTGATCAACCCCTAAAAATGATGGAATTGGGATTTTCTTTAATTTTGGAGAAAAGAAATAAAATTGTACAGAATTTTGCTGTGATCCATGTAAGAATATAATTAAGAGTGGAAATGTTTAAGGAAAAATATGCAGACCAGAATTAACTAATAAATTTTAGTTTCAGATCTTCAGATCTTAGAATATTGAACAATGTGGGGAGAAAGATAAATAGAACCAATTTACTTTCAATTTCTACACATGCATCCACTTTAATTAAATATCAATCCCAAAATTAAATGGAAGGTCTGAACTCTTATAAGTTTTCACAACCACATCAGCAAATCATTCTTATTTACCCCCCATGCTAATAAAACAGGAGCACGACACTTCTGAAAACAAAATTGCAAAATACAGAAAATTTGGTTTGACATTTTTTGTTCCCCAGAGGAGGGACTGCTGCTAACAAAAGTATCTCTTACAAAGGCTCAATTGCTTAAGACACAAAATATTAAGACAGAAAACACTTTAGGACACAGCCATGTCACCAGCTGTTACTCATTCCTAATGAAATTGTTAAGTAATAGTTTTTATAAGTAGGTCAGTGAAACTTTTGAATCTCAGAAAGTGTTTCATTTGTGGGTTTTTTTCCCCCTTTGTGATACAGAATTAAATTAAAACAGGGTAATTAAATAAATAAATTACTGGGAATGTCTAGAATCTCTCTCTCTCTCTCTCTCTCTCTCTCTCTCTCTCTCTCTCTCTCT